AGGAGGCGAGGATCGAGGAGGCGAGGATCGAGGAGGCGAGGATCGAGGAGTGAGGATCGAGGAGTGAGGATCGAGGAGTGAGGAGGCGAGGATCGAGGAGTGAGGATCGAGGAGTGAGGATCGAGGAGTGAGGATCGAGGAGTGAGGATCCAGGAGTGAGGAGGCGAGGATCGAGGAGGCGAGGATCGAGGAGTGAGGATCGAGGAGTGAGGATCGAGGAGTGAGGATCGAGGAGTGAGGATCGAGGAGTGAGGAGGCGAGGAGGCGAGGATCGAGGAGTGAGGATCGAGGAGTGAGGATCGAGGAGTGAGGATCGAGGAGTGAGGATCGAGGAGTGAGGATCGAGGAGTGAGGATCGAGGATCGAGGAGGCGAGGATCGAGGAGGCGAGGATCGAGGAGGCGAGGATCGAGGAGTGAGGATCGAGGAGTGAGGAGGCGAGGATCGAGGAGGCGAGGATCGAGGAGTGAGGATCGAGGAGTGAGGATCGAGGAGTGAGGAGGCGAGGATCGAGGAGGCGAGGATCGAGGAGTGAGGATCGAGGAGTGAGGATCGAGGAGTGAGGATCGAGGAGTGAGGAGGCGAGGATCGAGGAGGCGAGGATCGAGGAGGCGAGGATCGAGGAGTGAGGATCGAGGAGTGAGGAGGCGAGGATCGAGGAGGCGAGGATCGAGGAGGTGAGGATCGAGGAGGCGAGGATCGAGGAGTGAGGAGCTTCCAGAGGAGCTATGAGCGAGAATACACAGGTGTACCCTTTGCGGAACAGTTTTATCCACTAAACATGACGCACGTATCAATTCTCCTCCCCCTTCACATCTGTCACAATCATTTGAATTTATACTTTACTTTTGTAGTTTACATAAACCACACAACTCACATATTTCAACAAGGTATCTTGCTTTATTATTATTTATTATGAATTTCTTAAATAAACAAACTTTAACAACATAAGGGCAGATCCTTTGAGCACTGCCGATGACGCAGTGGAGTGACGCTCGAGTGATCAAGTATTCCAATGTATTAAAAAAGCTTTCATTCAATTCCTCCGTCCTCGTTTTTTTCCCTTGCAGCCTTCCCTCGCGTCCTACAGGGGGTGGAGCTGAGACGCGAGGAAAGGAAACGAGGAAAGGAAACGAGGATGCACAAATAAGAAATGAGAAGCACCCCAGCGTCTGACTGAACCAACATGATGAAGCTGCAGACTCGGAGCCTGCATCTACAGTCCCCCACCGAGAGTCCCGCATTCTCAGACCACAGCGCCTCCTGCTGTTCGAAAGATCGTATAACACCCCAAATAAATGATTGAACCCTCTTCTGAAAAATAGTGTGTGATATTATATTGCTACAATGTTTTTTTATATATTTTTTTAATTCAATTTCCAATTTTTCTTTCAGTTCAACCTATAATGGTTTAATTAACATTACCATGCTAACATTGCAAAATCTGTTTTTTGATATTTTGAATGCGAAGCAAAACAAATCAGAATAGACAAAACACCAATAATAAACAATTCTGTACTTTATTTAATGATCACCTAAACATCATCTTGCTGTAAAGAAAAAAGGAAGAAAAAACTGTGTTCGTGACTTTACTTTTCGTCTTCAATTGCATTAAAAAACGAATTTATAAGTCGCTTTGCATAATCATAAAATGATTGATATGTTGCTGGGTTCGGCAGGGGCGACTCCATCGATGTACGGTGTACCCTGGAATAGTGAAAATCACTCCAGCATTTATGACATATCTACAAAAGTCCAAGGTTAAAGGCTAACGTTAGCTATCAAAATATTTTCGGGGGGAAGAGGGCGAAAAACATACATTAACGGCTCAAATCTTGTTACAAACTATCTTTACAAATATTAAATGGCTTATCATATGTTGTATCGATGAGCTAAATTAGTTTTATTAAAAAATAAATCAAACGAGTAGGCTACTACGATTCGCTAAATAAAATTGAAGATAGCCTACTCACGTTCTGGCTTAAGTTCTTCACATGTCTGATAGGAGGCGCTGTCTCGGAAACGAGGGGTCTGAGAGTGCGGGACTCTGGGTGAGGGGGACTGTAGATGCAGGTCTATGAGCAGACACACATACATCAGCACTCCTGCTCGACCAATCAGATTCAAGGACTGGAGCAAAGATGCTGAACATGAGACGTTCTGATAAAGAGCTACAAGAGTGAATCTGACGCAAAGCACTTCATTATAAACAGAGATGCACCGATTACAATTTTCTAGGCCGATTTTTCTTGAGTTAGACCTGCCGATACCGATGTCCTTTTTTTAAATCACTTCACAGCACACACAAATATTTATTTTCTATCTTCTCTTTAATAGAACATTTTTTTTAACAGATAATCGCTATAAAATAGAACTATATAAATTACTCCTGGTGTGGGAAATCCACACACATCTAAAGTGCAGTGTTATAGAAGAACCATTTCCTTTTCACATCCAATATCCAACTAAAAAATTGATATATTTAGCAAACTAAACTTTTGTATGAAAACAGGTAATGGCAATAAAATAATATATAAATAACAAATAAAAATAAAATAAATATAGCCTACCCTTGCAGTATATATATATCAACACACACACACACACACACACACCGGCCTATTGCAATCACTTGTACATCAATGGCAAGTTATATTTCTCCCACAGTTCTTCTCTCTGACACATGTCCAGCCGGGCTAAACAGGACAAGTGGAGCATGTGCAGGGAAACGATTGGGAATAAAAACAAGTTATTTTCTATAAATATTTTTGAGTCTTAATTTTCTTTTCTGACATAGCCTGGCTACTTCAGTTCTTGTTAAAACACACCAGACGTGCAAATTCTGTGCATTTGGGGCACTTTTAAATAATATTTATTTTGTCCATCAAAAGTATGCTTTCACTTTAATTGAGCGCGAGCAGAATAGACTCGGCGCCGAAACCCGCGCTTCACTGTTGCTCACGCGACGCTCCTGCTCGACGCTCCTGCTCGACGCTCCTGCTCGACGCTCCTGCTCGACGCTCCTGCTCGACGCTCCTGCTCGACGCCCCTGCTCGACGCCCCTGCTCGACGCCCCTGCTCGACGCTCCTGCCCGACGCTCCTGCCCGACGCTCCTGCTCGACGCCCCTGCTCGACGCCCCTGCTCGACGCCCCTGCTCGACGCTCCTGCGCGACGCTCCTGCTCGACGCTCCTGCCCGACGCTCCTGCCCGACGCTCCTGCCCGACGCTCCTGCCCGACGCTCCTGCCCGACGCTCCTGCGCGACGCTCCTGCGCGACGCTCCTGCCCGACGCTCCTGCCCGACGCTCCTGCCCGACGCTCCTGCGCGACGCTCCTGCTCGACGCTCCTGCCCGACGCTCCTGCGCGACGCTCCTGCTCGACGCCCCTGCTCGACGCTCCTGCTCGACGCTCCTGCGCGACGCTCCTGCTCGACGCTCCTGCGCGACGCCCCTGCTCGACGCTCCTGCCCGACGCTCCTGCTCGACGCTCCTGCCCGACGCTCCTGCTCGACGCTCCTGCTCGACGCCCCTGCTCGACGCTCCTGCTCGACGCTCCTGCTCGACGCCCCTGCTCGACGCTCCTGCTCGACGCTCCTGCGCGACGCTCCTGCTCGACGCTCCTGCCCGACGCTCCTGCCCGACGCTCCTGCCCGACGCTCCTGCCCGACGCTCCTGCTCGACGCTCCTGCTCGACGCTCCTGCTCGACGCTCCTGCGCGACGCTCCTGCTCGACGCTCCTGCCCGACGCTCCTGCCCGACGCTCCTGCCCGACGCTCCTGCCCGACGCTCCTGCCCGACGCTCCTGCTCGACGCTCCTGCTCGACGCCCCTGCTCGACGCCCCTGCTCGACGCTCCTGCGCGACGCTCCTGCTCGACGCTCCTGCCCGACGCTCCTGCCCGACGCTCCTGCCCGACGCTCCTGCCCGACGCTCCTGCTCGACGCTCCTGCCCGACGCTCCTGCCCGACGCTCCTGCCCGACGCTCCTGCCCGACGCTCCTGCCCGACGCTCCTGCCCGACGCTCCTGCCCGACGCTCCTGCCCGACGCTCCTGCTCGACGCTCCTGCGCGACGCTCCTGCTCGACGCTCCTGCGCGACGCTCCTGCCCGACGCTCCTGCCCGACGCTCCTGCCCGACGCTCCTGCTCGACGCTCCTGCTCGACGCTCCTGCCCGACGCTCCTGCCCGACGCTCCTGCCCGACGCTCCTGCGCGACGCTCCTGCTCGACGCTCCTGCTCGACGCTCCTGCGCGACGCTCCTGCGCGACGCTCCTGCTCGACGCTCCTGCTCGACGCTCCTGCCCGACGCTCCTGCCCGACGCTCCTGCCCGACGCTCCTGCCCGACGCTCCTGCTCGACGCTCCTGCTCGACGCTCCTGCTCGACGCTCCTGCGCGACGCTCCTGCTCGACGCTCCTGCTCGACGCCCCTGCTCGACGCCCCTGCTCGACGCCCCTGCTCGACGCCCCTCCTCGACGCCCCTGCTCGACGCTCCTGCTCGACGCTCCTGCTCGACGCTCCTGCTCGACGCTCCTGCTCGACGCTCCTGCTCGACGCTCCTGCTCGACGCCCCTGCTCGACGCCCCTGCTCGACGCCCCTGCTCGACGCCCCTGCTCGACGCTCATGCTCGACGCTCCTGCTCGACGCTCCTGCTCGACGCTCCTGCTCGACGCTCCTGCTCGATGCACAAGCGCTGCTCCGGCTCCCGGTGTGAATGCACTCATTGATGCACGCCGAAGAAAAATAACCCCGCTGCTCACGCTTGCGGTGTGAAACGGCCGTAATTCACGAGGTTTCCTACATGTGTGTTCCGTGTGCACGTGATGCTGATGTTGCGCGATGTTAATCATGCGGCGCCCCAGTGCGTTTGACCAGCATAAAATCGGCATGTCAGACTGACCGGCCGGTCGCCGATCACGTGAAAATCGGCCGATTCCGGTCACAGCCGATCCATCGGTGCATCTCTAATTATAAAGCATTAAGAAGTATTTGTACACAAGTGATAGTTTTTGCTCTGGAACTTTATTAAAGTGGATGTTAAGGCTCATGATATTGCCAGAAGCGCTGCTGATTGGTTCAGTTTAACCGCCTCCTCTTTCTGGCCTGCAGTTCCTCTAGGAAGTCCCGCAAGCGCTCCGGTGTCACCTCCTGAAACACACAGAGATCATGAACACTGAGCTTTACTCCTGACCATCTCAGTGACCGGTTCCCCTCTTTACCTTCCTCTGGTCCGACGACTGTTGCAGGAACTCCCTCAGCTCCTCCTTCAGCTCACTGACCTCTGGACACAGGAGAGAGAAGACACATCTCAGCCAAAGGCACTATAACAGATCCTGTCTATCACACACTCACACACACACACACACACACACACACACAGCCTCACACACACACACCAGACACACACCAGACACACACCAGACACACACACACACACACACACCAGACACACACACACCAGACACACACACACTCTCACACACACACACACACACTCTCACACACACACACACACACACACACACACACCAGACACACACACACACACCAGACACACACACACACACACCAGACACACGTCAGCAGCGTCTTACGTCTTAGCAGCGGCACTGAAAGCGGATCCACAACAGAACCGGAACACACACACACACACACACACACACACACACACACACACACACACCAGACACACGTCAGCAGCGGCACTGAACGCGGATCCACAACAGAACCGGAACACAATACAATGCTGAATAAAGGCGTAGTTTTTGTTATTTTTGGACCAAAATGTATTTTCGATGCTTCTACACACTCTAACTAACCCACTGATGTCACATGGACTACTTTGATGATGTCTTTATCTCCTTTCTGGACAAGGACAGTATACCGTACACACATTTACAATGGAGGGACAGAAAGCTCTCGGACTAAATCTAAAATATCTTAAACTGTGTCCCGGAGATGAACGGAGGTCTGACGGGCTTGGAGCGACATGAGGGAGAGTCATTAATGACATCATTTTTGGGTGAACTAACCCTTTAAGGTTTTTGGGTGAACTAACCCTTTAAGGTTTGGATGCGTGTCTCTAGTTCTGAAATCTTCTCCGTCAGCCTGACTGTTTCTCTGCATTTATCACATGTAAAGCCTCAGTGCTGACAGAGAAGGCTATGCTATACATGTGACACGACGTGCAAGTGACAATAACAGGAGAAGACATTACTCGCAGTGTTTGTTGACTGATCTACTCACCACAGGTGTTTGGACTCATAAAAGGCGCAAGAGAAAAAAAGACGCCAAACACGGATGGCAGAATAACTGGCTAGCAAAATGCGCTTTGTGCGAGCGATAGCGATTTAGATTAAAGCTAGCGATGTCAGATCAAAGTGACAGACAAAATGAGATAATATCAGATAAATTGCGATGATTAAAAAATTATACAGAATCTATACAGATTATAATTATATACATAATTTATACTATTCATCCTGTTCAAAAGTTTACACCCCCCGGCTGTTAGTGTGTTTTCTTATTGAGCATCAGTGAATGTTTGTGTTTTCTGTAATATTCATGAATGAGGTCTGACGTCCTCAGAGAGCATTTCAATGACAGAGCCGCACTTACGGTAAATGACCTCGAGCTGCTGCACATGGGTCAGAGAGGTCAGAGGGGTCACAGAGGTCAGAGGGGTCACAGAGGTCAGGCAGGACAGCAGCAGGTCATCGCTCCTCAGCGCTTCAGTTTTGGCTCTCTCCTCGTATGCGAGCAGCGTGTCCGACTTGTCCAGCAGGAAAGGAACACCCGTCTCTACATACATTCTCTACACACAATATATAGAACATTAAAAACAGTTAAAATATTACAGAAACAGATCTCTGTAACAGTGATTCACTGAATTAAGCTTGTGAACGACACCTTGCAGTCGGTGCAGCGGCAGAGTTTCTCTCTCCAGTGATACGGCCAGAACACCGGAGCTTCCCTCACACACACCGCGGCTCCGGCCTTCAGCTCCTTCCACACGCATCCGCTGCCGTCTGAGATCTGCTGATCCGCAGGAGCCGTCCCTGAATCACCTCTACCCGCGGCTCCGGCCTTCAGCTCCTTCCACACGCATCCGCTGCCGTCTGAGATCTGCTGATCCACAGGAGCCATCCCTGAATCACCTCTACCCGCGGCTCCGGCCTTCAGCTCCTTCCACACGCATCCGCTGCCGTCTGAGATCTGCTGATCCGCAGGAGCCGTCCCTGAATCACCTCTACCCGCGGCTCCGGCCTTCAGCTCCTTCCACACGCATCCGCTGCCGTCTGAGATCTGCTGATCCACAGGAGCCGTCCCTGAATCACCTTGACCCGCGGCTCCAGCAGCATCCGACTGCTGGTCACCTGACGTCTGATCAGTGCTCACCTGCTCTTCACAGATGCCTTGTTTATTCAGAGTAGAACCTGGAGGAGATCACAACAGATCCCGTTTACAACAGCGCAGTGACTGCAGAACAGACCCTGCGGCCCATGTTTCTTCAGGAGCGAACCTCCTCCAGACCTGCTAATCGAGCCGCGTACGCCCAGAGGAACGGCGCCCGCTCCATGCAGCTCACACAGATCATCTCCGTCAGCACCTCTCCGCCAGCCACTGGAGAATCCAGATGCTGAAAAATCAGGACACACTTTAACACCAGAGGCCGGTTGCAACAGTGGACGTACACACGGTTGTAAGACTAAGCTTCCTGTGTAGAATTAATCCCTGTTGCACCATCTGGGCGTAGCGCACATTTGAGACTAAATCTAACACCTAGTCAAAGGTAGGACCCGTCTGGTATACAGGCTACACGATCAGCGGGCTTTCCGGCGTGAAAGAGTAATGAGAGACCGCATCAATCCTACAGATATACATGGAGACATCATTTATTGAACGTTTTCATTTCAGTAGGGTTGAATTGTTAGAATTAAATGGAGTTATCACCGCAGTTACAACATGTAACAGACAGGAACGGAGCGCTGTCCTCAACACTGCAGGTGCTAATTTCTCTTCGGTTTTATGCCAATGCTCGCATACCAAACTATGCATATTACTGAATAGCTCAATCATTTTTCTTGTTTCACAATCGGAGTAATTTAATTAGCTTTTCCTCGGCTCAGCAGTCGTGTTGTGTCCTCTATTCGTTGGAGCCAATAAACAATCAGTGCGGTACAACAAGTCAGCGTGTACGAGCATCGTCTATGCTAGTCGTAGTTTCAGACTGTGCAACAGGTGTAAATATTCATCGGAAAGCTGGACGTAACGAAGTCCAGCGTAGAGCTTACATCCAACTTCTTTACGTCCAGCTGGTGCAACCGGCCCCTGAGGATGAGAGGGAGAGAGGAATAACAGTGTGTGTGAGTTCACCTTCTCGTGGAACCAGTCCTCACACACCACACACTGGATCATCTCCTCGTTCACCTGGAGAAAGTAGAAACAGCTCATAATCCCCTGCAGCTTCATCCCTCAGTGAGGAAGAGGAGCGCCACACACCTGGTCGTCTTCATCCGGATACGGCCGGTCACACGAGCAGTAGCGCCCAAAGTAGTTGTGATTGTATGAGTTCTTCAGGTTTCGCCCTTCTTTTCCCTGAGCATCAGATGACAGAACAACATCAGATCTGAACACACACACAGCCGACCAGACGTCATGTGACACTCAAGAAAAGCTGCGTTTTCCACGTTAATCAGGGATTTTGTCCAAAAAAATCCCGCAACGATTCTGTTTTAGAAACGCTTTCTATTTCACCGAAGTCGAATAACATAAGCCGCGTTTCTCCAGAAACTAGGGACTTTGGGGTGGGACTCGGTGTGTTTCCACCACAGGAACTTTCCCCAGAAACTAGGGACTTTGGGGTGGGACTCGGTGTGTTTCCACCGCAGGAACTAGGGACTTTGGGGTGGGACTCGGTGTGTTTCCACCGCAGGAACTTTCCCCAGGAACGAGGGACTTTGGGGTGGGACTCGGTGTGTTTCCACCACAGGAACTTTCCCCAGGAACTAGGGACTTTGGGGTGGGAGTCAGTGTGTTTCCACCACAGGAACTTTCCCCAGGAACTAGGGACTTTGGGGTGGGACTCGGTGTGTTTCCACCGCAGGAACTTTCCCCAGGAACGAGGGACTTTGGGGTGGGACTCGGTGTGTTTCCACCACAGGAACTTCCCCCAGGAACTAGGGACTTTGGGGTGGGACTCGGTGTGTTTCCACCACAGGAACTTCCCCCAGGAACTAGGGACTTTGGGGTGGGACTCGGTGTGTTTCCACCGCAGGAACTTTCCCCAGGAACTAGGGACTTTGGGGTGGGACTCGGTGTGTTTCCACCGCAGGAACTTTCCCCAGGAACTAGGGACTTTGGGGTGGGACTCGGTGTGTTTCCACCGCAGGAACTTTCCCCAGGAACTAGGGACTTTGGGGTGGGACTCGGTATGTTTCCACCGCAGGAACTTTCCCCAGGAACTAGGGACTTTGGGGTGGGACTCGGTGTGTTTCCACCGCAGGAACTAGGGACTTTGGGGTGGGACTCGGTGTGTTTCCACCGCAGGAACTAGGGACTTTGGGGTGGGACTCGGTGTGTTTCCACCGCAGGAACTTTCCCCAGGAACTAGGGACTTTGGGGTGGGACTCGGTGTGTTTCCACCGCAGGAACTTTCCCCAGGAACTAGGGACTTTGGGGTGGGACTCGGTGTGTTTCCACCACAGGAACTTCCCCCAGGAACGAGGGACTTTGGGGTGGGACTCGGTGTGTTTCCACCGCAGGAACTTTCCCCAGGAACTAGGGACTTTGGAGTGGGACTCGGTGTGTTTCCACCGCAGGAACTTTCCCCAGGAACTAGGGACTTTGGGGTGGGACTCGGTGTGTTTCCACCACAGGAACTTCCCCCAGGAACTAGGGACTTTGGGGTGGGACTCGGTGTGTTTCCACCGCAGGAACTTTCCCCAGGAACTAGGGACTTTGGGGTGGGACTCGGTGTGTTTCCACCACAGGAACTTTCCCCAGGAACTAGGGACTTTGGGGTGGGACTCGGTGTGTTTCCACCACAGGAACTTCCCCCAGGAACTAGGGACTTTGGGGTGGGACTCGGTGTGTTTCCACCGCAGGAACTTTCCCCAGGAACTAGGGACTTTGGGGTGGGACTCGGTGTGTTTCCACCGCAGGGACTTTACCCAGGAACGAGGGACTTTGGGGCGGGACTCGGTGTGTTTCCACCGCAGGAACTTTCCCCAGGAACTAGGGACTTTGGGGTGGGACTCGGTGTGTTTCCACCGCAGGAATCAGGGTCTAAATGAAGTTCCGGGTAAATATTTGTCCCTCAGAAAGTCCCTACTTGCGAGGTAGTACTTTTTCAAAGTTCAGGAACTTTCAGGGGTGGGACGCTGAACACGCTGATTGGTTGAGTTCCTGCTGCATTTTGATTGGTTGACTTCACGCAGCATTTTATTTCAACCACCATCTATTGTGGTGCGTGCAGTAACAGTTGTTTGCTATTCAAATCAACAATGGAGTTTAAAAAATACAACTGATGAACCGATGACGAGGTTCAGGCTTAGTTAAGCTTAAATTCAGAGGATGAAATCCAACGGGAACTGTAAAGTCGCGCACAGTCCTACATCACCGGACTGAGTTGCCTTATCTTCACTTTCGGACGCGGTGGAAACGCAGACAGCAACAGGTCTGGGGGAAACAGCTCCTGGGACAAACTGTTCCGTGTAATTCCGGTGGAAAGGCGGCTATTCATGATGATCTGAGCTACTGATTACGAGGACAGACATCGGGTCTGCTTCAGAACACTCACCGTATGAAGTCTGCATTGGAAGCCATGAAATTTCTCATTGCCACAATCACAACGAAAATTCCTGTGACAAAACAAACAAACACACACACAACCACACAGTAAAATGTCAGTGAGTGAATGTTTTCTGCTCAGATACTCTAGAGAGTTTGAGACGAGCGATGAATCTCTTCAGACCTTTTAGTGTAAAGTTCACACACATCATGACCATCATGACACGCGTTCGCACACGCCAGACACACACCGGCCGGATCCATGCCTTCCTGAACACACGTGTTACACGCAAACACTGCCTGCCTCTTCATGTAGCCCTGCAACACACAAACACACATATGAACAACACAAACGCATACCTGAACAAAACACACACCTGAACCCGAAACACAACACAAACACACATGAACACCACAAACACTACACACACACCTGAACCCGAAACACCACAAACACACACCTGAAACACAACAAACACACACCTGAAACACAAACACAATAAACACACACCTGAAACACATACACAATAAACACACACCCAAAACACAACACACACACACCTGAAACACAACAAACACACACCTGAAACACACACACAATAAACACACACCTGAAACACAAACACAATAAACACACACCTGAAACACAAACACAATAAACACACACCTGAAACACAAACACAATAAACACACACCCAAAACACAACACACACACACCTGAAACACACACCTGAAACACAACAAACACACACCTGAACACCACAAACACACACCTGAAATGCTAAATTCAAATGTGCTTTCGCGCGTCGGCTGGCACTGAGCCAGAGACGGACACCATTTATATTAACTATTTCAACCACATAATGTTTATTTTAGGTTTTCGACATTTAAATTCACATAAGTAATTTAAAAAAACAATACATTTAGAGTTACACACTGATGTCTGCGGCAATAATAATCCTTTCCATTATAATTAGACGACATGTTTTATTCATATCAGACACACATTGCGTAAGTAACTTTAAAGTTTCCTCCATTCTTCTCCCGGTTCACCGCCCGCTTACTTTCATGTATTTCGGGAGAAGTGATGAGTTCACGTGTGATGAATCCAACAGATCCGATTCTCTGAACAGCGGCACAAACTAGCATGGCGGCCCCATATAGCTCAACTAACGGCATCGTGTGTTCTCAGGCTTTCTGGTGGATTAGCTCCACTGCCCGTCTCGGGTTTCTCTTGCAGCGGTGTTAAAACATCTATCAAGTACAGTACTTTTTTTTTTTTACTTTTAAATACAATACATTTCATTAATCTTTATTTAAGTACATTTTTTATTTCACTTTTAGGTGCAAGACATTTCCATTTAATCATTATTTAAGCTTCTTATGTACCTGTACAGCCCAGTCTCATCCCAAGACATCATATGACTGACGCTTTTGACCATTCGTCAACATCCGACGTTTTAGGGTACCCTTTAACGTCAGTATATGACGCTATGAAATCCTAACCCTACCCCAGACCTAAACCTACCCGCGGCATCTAACTGACGCTAAAGGTAAAGCGTCAGACATATGACGCCCTAGGATCGTCATCTAACTGACGCTAAAGGGTACCCTAAAACGTCGGATGTTGACGAATGGTCAAAAGCGTCAGTCATATGACGTCTTGGGATGAGACTGTGTTAACCTGTATGTAAGCGCAGTGCAGTGTTAATGTTCAAACTGTGTTTTCACCGAGCGGCAACCTCCCGTCTCTCTTTTAAAGCCAACACGGCAGAGACTGAAACTGCAGTTCCTCCACTGGCCACTAGAGGCCGGCTGCAGAAGAGACTCAGTCCCATAGACCCGCATGTTAAAACGCCCAACTTTACAGCAGAAAAACACATGTTTACAGTCTGGAGCTAAAAGTGGTTTGGGTCTATATCGCTAATGTTGCCCTTCATGGCGACTGTGAGGGGGGTGAATTTTTTTGTAACTCATCCGTTTAAATTATATTAAGCCTTAAAGTTCTGCATAATTAAGGGCGTGGCCACTTCAGTGACAGGTGGATTGCGGCTGCTGTCACTACTAGCCGTTTGTCTGCTAGCATCACGTCACCTCAGCTAATCCCGCCGCTGAACTTGCCATCACAGCACTAGCGGCGGCACTGCCAGAAGCATGTAGCATTAGCTCCTCAGCCTGAGCTAACGCCATCACGTCGAGCTAGGGGGCGTGGTCTCTGCCCATAGTGTGTTATCCGCGAGTGACGCTGCCAAGATGGCGACGGCCGGCTCCGCCCACTTTGGGCTTCAGAAACACTCTTCAGAAACACTACGGGTGATGTCACACACACACACACCTGAAACACAACAAACAGACACACACACCTGAAACACAACAAACACACACCTGAAACACAACAAACACACACCTGAAACACAAAACACACTTGAAACACAACAAACACACACACACCTGAAATACAACAAACACACACTTGAAACACAACAAACACACACTTGAAACACAACAAACACACACACACACACACACACACCTGAAACACAACAAACACACACCTGAAACACAAAACACACTTGAAACACAACAAACACACACACACCTGAAATACAACAAACACACACTTGAAACACAACAAACACACACACACACACCTGCAACACAACAAGCACACACCTGAAACACAAAACACACTTGAAACACAACAAACACACACACACACCTGAAATACAACAAACACACACTTGAAACACAACAAACACACACACACCTGAAACACAACAAACACACACCTGAGCCACAACAAACGCAGAGACTGAAAAGCCAAACCACAACAACAAACACACACCTGAACCACAACAAACACACACTTGAAACACAACAAGCACACACACACCTGAAACACAGCAAACACACACACACACACACACCTGAACCACAACAAACACACTTGAAACACAGCAAACACACACACACACACACACACACCTGAACCACAACAAGCACACACACCTGAACCACAACAAGCACACACACCTGAACCACAACAAGCACACACACACACACACACACACCTGAACCACAACACACACCTGAACCACAACACACACCTGAACCACAACACACACACACACACCTGAACCACAACAAACAAACACTTGAAACACAACAAACACACACACACCTGAAACACAGCATACACACACACAGAGAGAGAGAGGTAACGTTAGTGTGTTACCTTTGGGTAAGAGCAGTGATCAGGGTCTCGCGCGCATGCGCATGCATACACACACACACACACACACACACACACACACACACACACACACACACACACACACACACACACACACACACACACACACACACACACACACACACACACACACACAGGTAGTGTGTTACCTTTGGGTAAGAGCAGTGATCAGGGTCACTTCCAGCCAGAACAGCGAACGCCTCGTACAGCTCGTCAACTGCGCACTGATCCATCATCACACACAACACAACACAACACAACACAACACAGCAGAAACAAACACAACACACACAGGACAACACGCAAACACAGCGCGCACGCTGTTAGAAATCACGTGGTTACAATCACGCCGACCCTTCTTCTTCTTCTTCTTCTATTCGAGTTTTATGGCGGTTGGCACACAATGAAATGGTGCATTACTGCCACCTACTGGTATGGAGTGTGGTACTGAATGACTATTACTTATATATAAAAAAAAAAATAATAATAATAATAATTTAAATCCTCTCAATCATATTAATTATTCTAAAATAATGAAAAACAATTCCATAACACTTTTCTTTAGAATTTTTCCTAAGAATTTCTACTAAATCATACCGTACTCTTTCCTTTTTCAAATTTTGGATCATTTCCCTCCTTTTTCCCTCATATTTTTTACAGTCTATCATGACATGTTCTATTGTCTCTTGTTGTTCACAGTATTCACATCTGCCGGTGTTATGTTTACCTATTTTAAATAAAGTGCTATTTAGTCCTGTATGTCCAAACCTAAGTCTAATTGTCTCATCTCTCCTTTTCCTTCCTGTACATCTCATTTCCCCCACTTTCCTCTGAATTTTGTAAAACCATCGTCCTTTTCTCTCTTCTTCCCATTGCTTTTGCCACCTTTTCTTCAAACTCTGTTTAATAATGCTCTTCATTTCCATCTTACTGATGTTAACTTCTACATCAATGTCTTCTCTTTTTGTGGCCTCCTTTGCAGCCTTATCTGCCTTTTCGTTTCCTTTAATTCCAATATGTGCTGGTACCCACACAAATATAACTGTAATACCCATCATAATGCTTGATGAATTTCTATCAATATATGGGCTCTACTATCTGAATGACTGCTCTGTAAACTGACTAATGATGATGCAGAATCTGAACAAATAATAGTTCTCAATGGTCTTTCTTCCTCTATCCACTGAACTGCTGACAGAATTGCTAACATTTCTCCTGTGTATACTGAACATTATCACTTATCCTCTTCGCTGTTGAAATATGAAACTCTGGAACAAAAAAAGCTACTCCTACCCTATTATCTAAACTCTTTGATGCATCTGTATAAATCTGAATATAACTATAATAATTATCAATATATTCCTGTACAGCATACGAGTCAAAAATTAACCCCATGTCTTTGTTCTTCTTTCCTAATAATACTAGATCTACTTTTACTTCTGGTAATATCCAAGGTGGTACTATCGGTAATGGTACTGTAGGACTGATTTTTAATTCCGTTAATTTTAACTCTGTTGCTTTTTGTATAACTGTCCACCCAAAGCTTTTTGTCTCCCTCTTCTCCTTTTCCCAACAAGATTTTAAAGTGATTTGTGCTGGGTGATCTTCATTATGGCCCTTTATATTAACCCAGTAATTCAGAGATAGCTGTATTCGTCTCAACTCGAGTGGCATTTCTCCCATTTCCACCTGCAGTGCTGCCGTTGGTGTTGTTTTAAAAGCCCCTGTACATAATCTCAAAGCCTGAAACTGAATGGTATCTAGTTTTTTAAGAGATGTGCTTGATGCCGATCCATACACCACACATCCATAATCTAATACTGATCTAATTAATCCACAATAAATTGCCTTCAGTGCTGTTCTGTCAGCTCCCATCACTTCCCACCAAACACCTCATAACATTTAACACCTTCCTACATTTTTCAATTACTTTCTGGATATGTACATCCCATGTTATTCCCTCATCAAACCATATCCCCAAAAACTTAAAACACTTCACTCTTTCCAATTCTTGATTATATAACTTTAGTTTTGCCTCAGAACATATTCTTTTCTTTGTAAATAACATTATCTTTGTCTTATCTACTGAAAACTTAAACCCCCATTTATATGACCACTCTTCTATTTTCGTAATAGCTTCTGTAGCTTTTTAATATTAAATTTCAGATTTCTTCCCCTCTTCCAAATCGCCCCATCATCCGCAAAAAGTGAAAATCCCATCCCATTCTCTATTTCACTGTACATATCATTTATTAATATGGAGAATAATAAAGGACTTATTATACTCCCTTGAGGTGTTCCATTTTCAACAATATATTTCCTTGAATAACTCTCCCCTATTCTAACTTGTATCAATCTTCCTTGTAAAAAGTCCTTAATCCATCTATACATTCTTCCTTTGATACCTAATTTACATATTCTAATTAACAAACCTTCTCTCCACATCATATCATAGGCCTTCTCTATGTCAAAGAAGACAGCCACTACACTTTCTTTGTTTACTTGTGCTTTTCTAATTTCATGCTCTAAACATACAGCTGGATCCATTGTATTTCTTCCTTTCCTAAAGCCACTTTGATATTTGGCTATATATCCGTTCTTTTCCATATAGTACGTTAACCTTTCCTTTATCATTTTCTCCATTATTTTGCATATGTTAGAAGTCAAAGCAATTGGTCTATAATTCCCCGGGTTTGTACAATCTTTTCCTGGCTTGCGTATTGGCACTACCACAGCTTCCTTCCAGCTCTGTGGCAGTTTTCCGTCCTCCCACACTTTATTATATAGTTCTAGTAATACCTCCTTTGAATTTTCACTGAGCTGGTTTATCATTATGTAACAAATCTGATCACTTCCTGGTGCTGACATCTTATTTTTCTGGAGAGCATGTTTTAGTTCTATCATTGTAAATAGTTTGTTTAGTAGGTCATTCAAATTTTCTTCTTGCTGTACTTCTTTATTCTCCCTTACTGTAGTTTCCCTCCCTCTTTTCCCCTCTTCACTAATATTATTTGAACTGTGAACTGTTACAAATGCTTTAGCCAGCATCTCTGCTTTCTCCTCATCTCTCACTCCTATTTTTCCTCCATCATTTAAGACTGGATATCCATATTCTCTTTTTATCCCATTCATTCTTTTTATCATCCCCCAAACTTTACCAATTTCTGTCTCCCTTCCTATTGAGGAACAAAATTTCCTCCAATATTCTTTCTTTGCACTTTTTATGACTCTCCTTACATTTGCTTGCAACTTTTTATATTCAATAAGATTATTAAAACAATGATTCCGTTTTAACATTTTAAAAGCTTTATTTCGAAATTGTATCACTCTTTTACATTCCTTTGTCCACCATGGTACACTCTTACTTTTGCACTTACCTGCCCTCTTCTTTATTGATTTCTCTGCAGCCTCTACAACAACTTTACAAAAAGAAACATTTAAATTATCAACATCTTTATTTCTATACATTTTTCCCATTTCTTGATCACTAATATTCCTAAATGTATCCCACTCAGCACTATTGAAAGACCATTTCTGCAATCCTACTGTATCAAATTCCTCTAGACTCAATCCTACTACTATTATAATAGGATAATGGTCACTTCCTACTGTCGTTCCTCTAACCACTTCCCATGTGCAAACGCCTGCTAATGAATCTGACACTAATGTAAGATCTATTGCTGATTCTGTACCAGTTCTGATATTAATTCTTGTACCACTTCCATCATTTAAACACACTAAATTTGTCATCTCCATTATCTCTTCAATCACCATTCCATTAGTATCATTATATTTATCCCATAATGTGCTATGGGCATTAAAATCTCCACAGCAAATCACCTTCCCTACTAACTGTATCATCATTTCATCCAGCAATTCTAACGACAACTTATTACATGGATTATAAAAGTTAACAACTTAAAAATTTCCTTCTCTGGTCCATACTTCAATTATTAAATATTCCAACTCTTTTCCTTTCCCCAAAACTCTATATTGCATTCCTTGTTTTATAAATATTATACATCCTCCTCCACTACCCTCCCCTCTATCTCTACGAATGCTATCATATCCTTTAATAACAAACTCCAATTCTAATTTAAGCCATGTCTCTTGAACACATATAATTTCTGGTTTATTTTTTAACTCTTTAATAAATCCCTTAAATTCCTGACCATTCGCTATTAAACTTCTTGCATTCCATTGTACAATAATCAGCTTGTCTTATCACCTGGGCCACCCACTTTCCCATCCGCTTCAAGTCTTGTTTTGATCTGCTCCCAAGATACTTCTTTTGTACCCAGAAACTTCTCCGCCCCCTTAACTATTATTTTAATTTTCTCTGTTTTGTGTTTAACCTGATCGGTACAATTGATCACATAGGCCACAAACAAAATAATCTTCTCAACTGTCAATTCTGTTTTTGTTTTCTCTGTTTGACCTGCATCTATTCTCGACCCCTGGGCAGCAATGTCAATATCAACCCTTCCCCTTTGTCCTTGTACTTTCTTCACTGCCTCTGAATAACTTATGTTGTTTACTGTTTTAATCTGCTGTATTTCCACAGCTCTTTTCCTGACTTCACATCCACCATATGTTACTCTGTGTTGGCCACCACAATTACAACACTTATCCTGCACATTTTCCTTACATTCTTCCACTCTATGCTCACCTCCGCATTTGGGACACCTCTGCTTCCCTTTGCAAACTGCTGCTATATGTCCATACCTCTGACATTTGTAACATCGTAGCGGTGGAGGAATATACGGCCTAACTAGAAAGCTCATGCATCCTACTCTCACCCTTTCTGGAAGTAAGGACTCCTGGAATTCCAGAAGAACAGATAAGCTATCTACCCTTTCACCATTTATTGTTCTCAACAGTCTCTTTATTCTACTCACCTCGCCTCCACTAATACTCCGCTTGAGTTTCTCCAAGTCTTCATCTACAGGAATCCCTGTTATCACTCCCCTTGTTACTCTAGTCTCACTCAACACCTTTCTCTCAATAATAATGTTCCTGCAAACACTTTCAATTTCCAAGGCTCTATTTTTCTGTTCCTCCGTTTTACTTATGACCAACAAGCTTCCATCTCTCAAAATCTTTGCCATTTCCACATCTCCTATTTTCTTTTTTATTTCCCTAGACACCGCTATCGGACTTAAATCAACATTCTCGTCTTCCTTTCTAAATTTGAGGATTATTTTCAAATCCTCTCTCACAACCCTTTTCCGCACAAACTCATTTCCTTCAT